AAAAACGCGAAGTCTGTTCTGCCTTTTCCAAGTTGGATAAGGAAGCAAAGCAAAGGGGGGTAGTGGTAAACGAAGACAAGACGAAGTATCTCCTGTCATCAAAATAACAGTCAACACATTCGCGCCTTGGCACCCACGTCACTGTTGACAGTTACAATTTCGAGAAAGTAGAAAATTTAGTTTACTTGGGAACCAGCAGTAACACCGATAATAATGTTAGAATTGAAATCCAACGCAGAATCACTCTTTCCAACAAGTGCTACTTTAAACTGAGTAGGCAATTCAGTACGAAAACCACGCTCTGTAAGCCACTCATCATGCCCGTGCTGGTATATGGCGCAGAAGCATGGGCAATGACTACATCCGATGACGCGGCTCTTGGAGCCTTTACGCGTTGGCGACGGCGAGTACCGCAGACGATGGAACGATGAGCTGTATGAGCTTTACAACGATATGGACATAGTGCAGCGAATTAAAATACAGCGGCTCCGCTGGCTTGGTCATGTCGTTCGAATGGACACCGACGCTCCAGCTCTGAAAGTATTCAACTCGGAACCCGCTGGTGGTAGCAGAAGAAGAGGGAGGCCCCACTGCGATGGAAAGATCAGGTGGAGAAGGACTTGGCTTCAGTTGCACAGAAGAGAAACGACTGGCGTGCTATGCTGAACTCGGCCAAAATCGCTTAGGCGGTTACAGCGCCAAAAAAGAAGAAGTTTGATGTGCTCTGAATTATGTGCTCCGCTATATAATTCACAGATTGTTGTATTTATCATGATAAAAACATAGTAAGGTAGAACCGTTCTCTCAATTAGTCGGTCATGAGTTTTTTTTGAAGTTTGCCAGCATTTTAAAATCATAACATAAACTGAAAATGAAATCCCAGCCAGCAAGGAAACGTACGATTTACGGACATTATGCTTTACGAGGGGAAAAAGTTGGAGAAAGGCTCGTAAACGATAAAACAGAAAAATGTAATAAAAAGAGTCTTGTAGTAACTTGTCAGCACAAGAAGAAGTTTTCATTTTGTTGGAAATTTTTCTTGAACCTACATATTTTATAATATGTAATGTTCGCATGCGAGGGCTTTTTCGATCCGTTTACGACTGTTTGTAGGCGCTCTACAATTTCATGTGAGAAAGCACTCGACAACGAATCGTAAACGGCTATCATCAACGACTTTTGAGTTTGTGAGTAAATTGTAAAATGAAAATACTTGAAAACATTAAAAATGCTAAAACTGTCTATCAGCGGTGCTACCTTCCTATATTTTTATCATGGTTATTATACACCTGCAAAGGTATCAGCAGCTTTTAAGTTTTTTTTGAGAATATACATACATACATACACTGCCGGAACAAAGTATTGGCACAGCAAATTTTTCTAAATATACATATGCAACAATTTTTTTTCTAATATTTTTTCGCCAATTTTGTATAAAAATATGGTTCACTCAACAACAAAAAACATAAAAATATAATTGCTAAACTTTGAGCAAAACTCGCGAAAATTCAGCAAATTTTCACCAAAATTTTCAACTTTTTAATGAGATTTTTTATATTTCTTTTGAGCCCATTAAATTCTAGTAAAAGCAGGGACCGTAATCATTATGAGTTTTATCAAAAAAATTAACTTTTAATCATTATTTTGAGATTTTAATACCTGCGATCAATCATAATAATCACATTTTGAGTTTTATTGTATTGCTCAGAAAATACAATCATTTATTGAGTTATATTTTTTTGATCAAAAATAAAACTCATTTTTCGAGCGTTATTTTTTTGCTCTGAAGTAATAATTATTTTGTGAGTTGCTTTCTTTTTGATCAATAATAATCATTATATTATGAGTTTTATAGTTTTGATCAGAAATAATCATCATTTTTTGAGTTTTATTTCTTTCATCAAAAATAATGATTATTTTTTGAGTTTTATTATTTTGATCGAAAATAAAACTCATTTCTTGAGCGTAATTTTGTCTCTCAGAAATAAAAATTAACTTTTGAGTTTTATTTTTTTTGCAGATCGTAAAACTCAAAACGCCTCACTTCACCTAAACTCAACTCACCACACCTTAACTCACCTCACCTCAACTCATCTCAACTCACCCTAACTTACC